CAGTCTCCACAATTTTTTATCACCTACCAGAACTCAAAAACGAAGCATTCGTAATCAAACACTGGGCAGCGTTGTTTCGACCCGCCATAAATCTCATCAGTTGTGCTGAGTTGAACCACGAGTGCTTCGCCAGGCTCAACTGTCTTTGAAAGAAAGCCAAATAAAATAAAGGCGAATCCGAAAAATTAGGTTGGAAAACCTATCCAAAGTGTACGGTGACACAATTCAGTCTACAGTACAAACTTAATGATAGGTTTGTTCCAACAACACATCTGATCGGTCATAAACTGTAAGAAGCATGCGCACAACAAATATTCCGTTCCAACAAGAGTCGATTTCGAAATTCTGACTAGGAATGTCATGTTCCAACTAAAACTCTGATCGATTTGCAACTGATTTCCAACCGCTTGATCAGTCCGAAGATTTTTCTCGGATTGCTGCTGACGGACCTGCGCAGTTGCTTTGTTAAGGCAAAGCTGACCTAAATTCAAAATGTGATGGTATGAAAACAGCGGGTTTTGTTTGGGTTAGGTGTTTCTAAAGTTTCTATACACAGTGGTCAGTGGTTAGAAGTGTATCTGTCAGAATGGTAGATATATCATCAAGCTCTGGTTCCAGTGAAGATCTCAATGAATGGACGGATTCATCCGACGATGAAATTATGTTGGTGGAAAATAGGGCAAGGCCCAAAAACCAGGACTTTTTGGAACAAACAGTTTCACAATATAATAATCAAGAATTCATGGAACATTTCAGAATTAGTAGAAGGCTGATGGCTCAAATTGTGGAGCAGTACCAAAATGCAGATTCATATAAACATCACTCTGGAATTTATGGTAAAATCATTTCCAAATTTTCCTAGTTGATCAACAGAAAATCACAATTCAACACCTAGGTAATCTTATTAAAGTTCACGAATTCAGTTTAACCGGTCTGACGTTTGACAATGTGATTTGATAGTTTGCTTTTGGTTACGTTCCAACAGTCCAGAATCACGTATTAGTTCCCAACTGGTTTCTGATCGAGTATGCCCAATAAAGCAGTTCATCAAACGGTTTGCAAACTGTTTGCAATCGTTTGTTGGAACAAACCTAATGATAACTAGTGCGACTGACTTATCATCCGTTTATCTTCGAGGCGTGCAGGTATAATCAACCCAATTAAAAAAAAATTGTGACTTGTCTGTTGTCACAGACTTGATATCTCTGGTTGCCTTTTCATTTTGATTGAAACAACAAAGTGCTCCTAACTCTTGTAAAGCTTGGCAGAAAACGAAATGAAAATCGCCCGGAGATGCGGGAATCACGAGATGTTTATGTTATCACCGCGAGTATTATTTTTATTCTAATTGAATTTTCGGAGGGCGTGATCCTCGAATTCGCGGCAAGTTGACTTTTTTGTGAACCAAATCATTAAAGGAGGCCGTAGAAGCCATCGATGAAACAGAAAATTGCCAGGATTTGTAAAATTCGTAATAAACTTCGTCGATCGAGTGGAAAAAGGTTCGGGGATCGGTCCTGCAGAAAATTTCTATTTTTCGCTGAAGGAAACTTTCTATGGGAATTGAATAAACGAGANAAAAAAAGAACAGGATATCCCCCTTTCAAAGGTATGTCAACTTGTCATCTAGTCAGTTTTATTTCGCAATCCCATGAAATGGGTTAATTATTGCGGTTATCTGGTCGTCATGGTTATTGATGTCACAGACGGTCTGTTCGGGGTAAAATCATCTTCAATGACGTCACAGGTGAACCCTTTTAATCAAACCTTTCAATGATATGAACTTAACAGAAGTGACACAGATTGCCAATATAACTCAACAGTGATGTGAATGTATATTTTGAAGAACTAAATATGAGAATGTTAGGTTATTTATTTCTCGTATTTGTATTCCACAGGAATCTCAGAGAACACTCGAAGCACCAATTACTACAAGGCAATTATAAACAAGAACTGATTGATGGTAAGTGATTGAATGATAACTAGATGCAATTGAATATACAGAGCGTATTATTTTCAGGGTACAGAAACTTAGAATTTAACGGATCTCATGGAAGCACTATTTCAAAAATGTCATAACAATAAATAAATAAACATCGAAGTTGTATATTTTTTTTCTCTAGGTAATTTAACGAAAATCATAAAAAAGAGGTAAATTAACACGTGACAGCATGATGAAAAACGCGCGATTCAACGCTCTCATGTCTACGTTACTTTAGAAATACAGTAGAATCCGGATATAACGACCTTCAAGGGACCGGATATATGTAGTACTAACCGGACGACGCACAAAACGGATTAATTTTGTTGTAGTAAAGTTTACTTTAGTCTTTCATTTAGCTGTTTGGAATGCTGATCGATAGGTGAACAAAAAATATTTTATAGAAATCACATATGCTTCATTTTAATAGTTCTTAAATATCCTAATGTACAAACATATGTACAAAGTCTGTTATTTGAGTTTATTTTTGACAAACTTCTGTTCGGTAGTAAGAATTTTGTACAGCATTATGAATTCGCAACATCATTGTTTTCATAACATTATCATCCAAGTTAGTCTGAACAAACATATTGAGCGTTTCCGCAGCCTTCGGAGTTCCAGACACACTCAAGGTTGGAGAAGTCTCCTCTGGTGCGGCATCATCACCGTCAATATCTTTGTTATTCGCGTCGTTGGCGTTTTTACGAAAATGTGATTTGGAAGCTCGAATAATCCCTTGGTCCATGGGTTGCAACACTCATGTCTTGTTTGGAGGCAAAAACACCAGCGTTATGCTTTTCAAGTCTGTAATATGGCGATGTGCTATTGTAGCAGAGGTCCATTAAGAGGTATTCTCCGGTCGCGCTGAAGCTTGAACCACTGTAACAATGCCTTATCCAACTGCTCATGAGTAGAAGTCCTTACACGTTTGCATTTCAAAAAATTGGCATTGAACAGCAACTCGATCTTATCTTTATTCTGTTCAATTGTGGATATTGTAGACTGGGATACGCCAAACTCCTTTGCGAGGGCTGCATTTGATTCATCGGCTTCTAATCGGTATAATATTGCACTTTTTTTCTTCAATTGCAAAATACTTTCGCTTCACAGAATTCATTTTGCGAACTTTATGGACTTACAACAAGTGACAAATACTTCATACTGGAACCTCTGGTGTAAAATCAATCTATTAATATCTGTTAGTAGTACCTATCAATAGAGGTTCCTAAGAAAACTACTTGATAGTAGTACCTATCAATAGACGTAGCTAAGAAGAGGGAGAGCGCCGAAGTATTGGTGCGCAGATTGGGTAAACAAAACATTGCGCGACGTTTTAATCGGATGTATTATCATAAAAAAACCGTCGCTATAAGCGGTTGGTCGCTTAAACCGGAGTCTCACTAAACGGTATATTTTTTCAATAACTGAATATGAAACTAAACTTAAGTAAACATTATCGTCGCTGTAAACGGATAGTCGTTATAAGCGGAGTCGTTATATATGAATTCCACTGTATCAATTTTTTGTTCGCTAATCCAAATCTTTTCTAAAAAAGAAGAATGATGATTCCAAACTATCTTCTTCGAATCTTCAATACTTTTTCCAGTATACTTCTTCGAGAATTAACTCCGTTTTATCAAGTGTACATCGAGCACACCCATTCTCACCAGCAGTCAGTAAATAAACTATGATTGATACATCAGTTATTCAGGAAGCCATAAAGCGAAAGTAGTATTCGGCTTACGGTCCTTCAGTGAAATCTTTATACCTGACTCAGAGAGCTAGCCAAAGAATTCGGACAATAAAAAACCACTAATATTTGAGTGCCACTACGTGCCATGTGATCTAACCCGTAAAAAAGTATTTCACAGTCGGACATTGATAGGTGTTAAGAGGCCCACCCAAGGCGAAATTATCTCCGAACTAGTTGGTATCGAAACCGTTTTAACCCAATATATCTCATAACTAAAACTAATTTGTTAACTATGAACTGTGAGTCAAATATTAATGATGCCCGGAGCCAATAAAATGATACTACGTAGGCGTAACTTTGGTTTATGATGTCTTTTGAAATGTTGTGATCACCGACAAAGATAAATATAATAAATTTCTCGGGATGCACAAGCTCGTACTAGTTGCATTAGGCCGAAGTGTGGACGGAAAGTGGGTGAGATAATGGAAAACGATATGTGATTGAAACTGGAGTGAC